TTTATCCTTGGTGGTTCATGTTTATTTTTAGCATAAAATATAATATTTTTTTAAAACAAATATTGTTTTTCAAAACTCATTCTATGCCATTAAAAAGAGAAATGTTTATTGAAAATTAATCTAAATGCTCCAATACATTAGCATCATTTTAGATAGATTTTCTTACCTAAAGATTCTTAAATAATCACTACTCAGACTTCTTTAGAATCTTGTCCTCAGAATATTTTTGTCTGTTTTAAAAAATATTAAAAATCATGTAATAATATAATTATCCACAAATACATTTATTTCTTAAAAACAATTCTCTCATTTATTAAGAAAAACTATTCCAATTAAAGAAAATGATTATAAAATGAAATTTTTTTTCATATTGAAAAGAAACTTCTAAATATTCCAATACTTTGGCAACTTTAGAAGGCTTTTCTCATCTAGAAAATTCTCAAAAATCAATACTTGAACTTTTCAAAGTCCCATCATCGAAATTTCATTTACTTTAAAATCATGTAATAATATCATTATCTATAAACAAATTTATTTCCAAAAGTGTATATTTTCATATAAAATTACTCAAATTGAGAATAATGATAAAATGAAAATCTTTCGTATTGAAAAGAGGCTTCTAAATATTCCAATACTTTGACAAGTTTTAGAAGACTTTTTCCCACCTAGAGAATTCTCAGGAATCAATACTTAGATTTCCCAAGATCTCATCATTGAATGTTTTTATTTCATTTAAAAATATGTAATGGAAATAATCAAGTAGAATATGTATATAAAAAGAAATATATATTGATTATGCTTTAATCATTTTTACTTATCTTCCAATTATCACTAATACTTTTGAAATGAACAAAGTAAATAAAAAATTTTATTGAAAACTTTTCTTAGATATCTCGATATTTTAGTGGTATTTTAGAAACATTTTCTCATCTAAAAATTTCTTAAAAATTTCTACTCAGACTTCCTTAGAATCTCATCATCGAAAATTTTTATTTACTTTGTCCTTTCTTAATTAATTATATCTTTCTTAATCTAATTTTTAAACTTTGATTATACCAATTTCATTACTAAAAGAGTCATTACACATTATTATTAATATTTATCAAAATTTTAAAAAAATAGACAAGTGAAACTTTTTTTAATTGAATATTTTCCTAAATACTCCACTACTTTGGTAATATTTTTAAGAAAATATCCTCACCTATATATTTTAGAGAATCACTACTCGGATTTCTCTAAATATCATTATCGAAAAATTTCATTTAATGTATTATTAATAAGTGAAGAACAAATTTTCCTTAAAAAAGAAATTAAGGTGCAAAAACTAAATTGCATAAAGATCAAAATGAACATAAAAATTTAACCAAACTAGCAATGAAAGGAAAATCCATGGGATTTAAATTATAATCATATTTGAAACAACATTAGAGAAATATAAATGATGATATAAAACATACATGAAAATAAGCCTTATTGTAAAAATTTCAGCATCTTTTAAAAACTTTGTAAAATTGTAAACAATCAAAAAAGAAGTAGGTGAAACAATACTATTAACAAATGAAAAAACCAAAATAGAAAAAGAAATTGTGGCCTTCCCATAAGCATTCATCACACCATAGAGACCAATGGATTCAATGAATATTTAAAAAACAATGACTAAGTCCAACTTAGCATCAAGTAAATTAACTTGGAAATGCATTGACCACAACTTCCATGAAGTTAAGCCAAATATGCATATGGCATGTAAAGTGTCCACTCTAAATTATGTAAATTAGAACATTATAGAAGCTAAAAACAACAAAGAAAAGCAACTAAATCATGCGCATGAAAGAACAAATAAAGTCAACTTGAAACTTATTTTACCTTGGCTTGCTACCTTTTTTCGGTAGATTTTTCCTCTTCCTTTTGGTAGCTTTCTCTTTTTTCTTTCTTTGGTAACTTTCCTTCCAACCCCTTTCTTTAAGTAGCTTCCTCTCATTTTCTTTCTTTTTTCCTTCTCTTGCACTTCTCTATTAAGCTTTTTCCCCCTTTTTTTAGTAGCTTCTTCCCTCCCATTTTTTTACTTGTTTAGCTCGTTTCTTCCCAACCTTTCAGCCCTATCCTCCATCTTGACTGAACCCTCTAGCCCTTTTAATAGTCAGCTCAAATAAAAAAAAAAGATTTCATTCTTGATAAATATAAACCCTTGCATAAGATTTCATCTGAGGTTCAAAGCTTATCCTTTTATTATTCCAAGGAGCCACCTTTGACCATTGGATCAAGATCAATAAAAGATCCAATTTTCATATTATTCATTGCAAAAGTTGGATTTTGGTCCTTCAAACATATGAAAAGACTATTTTACTCATAGTCGAAAGTTTTTGGTATTTAGGCTATTTTTTTATATATCAATGCTCCCATGCTCATTTTTGAGATTTTAAAATGCCAAAAATTATGAAATATTATAAAATTAAGATTTGAAAAGTTTCATGAAAATTCGAGCTCATAAAGGTCAAATTATGAAAATACCTTTGTAGGGGTATTTTGGTAATTTGATATTTTTAGGGTACTGCTATGATTTTAAATGCACAAAAAATCATGAAATATTATGAAATTAATATCTCAAAGTTTAATGAAGATACGAGCTCGAAAAGGTTAAATTATGAAAATACCTTTATAGGGGTATTTTGGTAATTTCACATTATTAGGGTACGACTGTGATTTCAAATGCACCAAACATCATGAAATATTATAAAATTAAAATCTAAAAATGTTCATTAAAATTAAAGCTTGAAAAGGTCAAATTATGAAAATATCCTTGATAAAAATATTTTGGTAATTTTGTATTTTCCTTTTAATAATAAAAATTTTTTGTATTTTAAAAATCACCAAATTTGATTTTAAATCACATTGATTTCAATTAGACTTTGAACTTTGAAGAGTACCCCAATTCTATTCATTTTGATTAAATTTTGTGTAATTTTTACTTGAGTTGACTTAGGGGGTTTACTTATTTTATTTATTCTTTATTTTTCATGCATCTATGTGAAAATGTATCATTCATATAAATCCCTTGCAAAAGAATTGATGGTAATTATATGGGTTCCTTTTCTTTTGTTTATTAGACCTAAATGTCAATGCATTTTATAGGCTTTTTAAGGGCCTTTTTTGCGGACTTTAATTAGGTTTTGTTTAATCATGATAAAAATGTTCCGGATAAAATTTAGTGCCTACAATTATAATTATATATGACAAATGAATTGTCAATTTACTCAATTGTTTTTTCTGGGACTACACAGCCCTATCCAGAAGAGTCTAGAAGATAGCTGATTAATCCTTTTCAAGACACTTTTGGGAAGGATGAAATGCCTATATCAATAGTTTTGGAAGTTAAATTGATTGAATAAGTTGGAGCTTACCCGCATATGATAAGAATTTTGCAGCCCAAAAATTAATTTTAGCTGGACTTTTTCTACTAGTGGGGCACGTTTACTATCAATAAGCCTCCTAGTAATAAGAGAAACTCCCAGATATCTGACAAGCAGGATGCCAAGTTTGTAGATGCATCTCCTGAAGTGATTCATGAAGAATACTTGAAGCAAATAATTCAATCTTTGCATATTCAACTGCAAGCCAGAGAAAGTGTAAAAGACCTTTAGTACATTTTGCACTCCCATGATGGAATCCAGATTACCTTTGGTAAATATCATTAGATCATCTGCGAAACACAAGTGAGTTAAGTTTACTCTTTTGTATTTTGCGTATATGGTAATCAAACATCCCAGACTTAGTAGCTGTGTCAAGAATCCTGGAAAGAACATTCATAGCAAGAACAAAAAGATAAGGGTAAATAGGATCCCCTTGCCTTATTGCTCTTGCTCCCTGAAAATCCAACCAATCCACCATTTAAAGATAAAGCGAACTTGGTAGTGGTGATGCAGCACTGTATCCACCTTATAAATTTATCTGCAAATCTCATAGCAGACAGCATTATGAGAATAAAATTCCAATCCAATGAATAAAATGCTTTTATAAAATTTAATTTGCGTCGCATTCATATTTTTTTTTCATATAATTTTTATATTGTATAAATATATCATATTTTAAATTGGCTGGCGATAAAAGATATAAAATCCTAGTACTATTATAATTATATTCTTTTTCATTAATCAAGTTAAGCCGAAGGATATCCAACATATATACAGTAATATAAAATCAAACAAATGTAGACACCTTGGTCAAGGTTAGAAAAAGGCATCTAATCGGGACAACACCTGAGAAAAATCCAACATATACGCATTTGTAACATTAATGGATGAAAACGAATTGCCTAAATAAATATACTTGTTATGTTATGATAGCTCTTTGACTATTTGGAAGGTAGCAAATATTGGAATCACAATGTTTTGATAGTCTTGTTTTGCCGGATTAAGAATCACAAAAAAAAAAAAAAATGTAAAAATTCACAATAAGACAATCAACTTTTGTTAATTCTTATGAATTAGAGAAATAAGCTAAAAATGAGAGCAGCTTAATCGTTAATACAAACTCGTAAAAATGATGTATATTTAGATATATGAGTAAGAATACACATAATCAAAGTAAGTTATATATATATATATATATATTTGAGTTTTGAATCAAAATTAAAATCATAACTAATTAATTTGGATCAAAATAATAACTTTAATCTTAATTGTTTTGATCAAAAAATAAAAAAATATAAAATTTATACCAACGTAAATAAATCCTCTATATAATAGCAATTAAAAATATTACAAATAAACAAGTGATTAAAAAAAAAGGAATAAATTAAGGTATCAAACAAAATAAAAAGTTGTATCAAATGATGGACAACATACATGAAGATTTTCAATGAAAAAATTAGTAGAGATTCCAGATTTGGATGGAGGTGAAAAAATACGAGTATAAGTATACATGACAACCAAAAGTTGAATCACCATTACAGTTTGTAGTAGTAGAAAAAGTAAGGGGAAGATAGCAAGATTTAAACTGCAGGCATGGACGTCATTGATTCTTTGATGCCATACTTGGTCCACTTGGTAGTTCTATACGTGTCTGTTGGTGTCATCTACTTGGTTTACAAGTACAAATCCACCGCCACCGCCGCCACCACCAACCTTCCTCCGGGTAAGAAGGGTCTTCCATACATCGGAGAAACATTGGATTATGTGTTGGCTTCCAGATGGGGAACTCCTGAGAAATTCGTAACTGACAGAACTGCGAAATATTCACCCGATGTGTTCCGTACATCATTGCTTGGAGAGGACATGGTTATCTTTTGCGGTGCTGCTGGTAACAAGTTTCTCTTCTCTGGCCAAAACAAATATGTCACCTCTTGGTGGCCGGATTCAATCAAGAAAGCTTTGATGGATCCATCGACTGTTGATAATTCTTCTAAAGAAGAATCCACTAAACTTCGGGCGTATCTGCCACCTTTTCTGAAGCCAGAGTCCCTTCAACATTACATACCTGTCATGGACACCATGGCAAAAGAGCACCTAGACCAACTCTGGTCCCCCTATAACCAAGTCCAAGTTTTCCCACTTTCAAAAAAGTACACATTCGCACTCGCCTGTCGTCTTTTCATGAGCGTCCAAGATCCTGACGAGATCGAAAAATTTGCAAAGCCTTTCGCTCTTGCCACTGCTGGTCTCATATCGGTACCTATTGATCTTCCAGGTACAACTTTCAATCGCGCCGTGAAAGCAGGCAGACAGATTCGCCAACGGCTCTTTGCCCTCATTACCAACAAGAAAAACGAGATATTGGAGAAAGGAAAAACAGTTGCTTCAGACTTAGTGGATAGCATGCTGATGGATGGTATGACTGAAGTAGAGATCAGTAATAAGATTATAGGCTTCTTTATTGCCAGTCATGACACCACAAGCACTGCAATCACCTTCATTGTCAGCTATCTTTCCGATTATCCTGACATATATAACAGGGTCTTGGAAGGTATGTACATTGATTACATTTTGGTAGACCTCGCAATTCATATATTGATGTCAGTATAAAACATTGATAATTCAAATATTTTTATCATATAAAATATTAAAAATTTATATATTCATATCCTATTTTATACAAATTACATGTGTCATTTTCATTTTTTTTAATTTTTATATCATGTTTTAAATATATAGCTTTAGATTTTAGCATTAGTACTGATCATTAGTATACATAAAAAATTTCTATTCGGGAATTAATTAATAATGTTTCATCTCCTTGAGATTATTTGCAGAACAAATGGAAGTTTTAAGGTCAAAAGGACCTGGAGAACCTTTGAAATGGGAAGATATTCAGAAGATGAAGTACACTTGGTGTGTGGCATGTGAAGTAATAAGGCTGGCTCCACCTGCCAATGGAGCTTTTAGAGAGGCCATAACCGACTTTACTTACGCAGGTTATACAATTCCAAAGGGATGGAAGGTAAACCTATATTTCCATTATAAAAAATTAGAAATGTAACCATTGATTGATCATGTCATTGTCATGATTTTATAGTTTTGTTGTTTTTTCTTATAATTTGTTCAGGCCTATTGGACTGTGCATACAACGAACAAGAATCCCAACTACTTCCCAAATCCAGAGAAATTTGATCCATCAAGGTTTGAAGGGAATGGCCCTGCACCCTACACATTTGTACCATTTGGTGGAGGTCCTCGAATGTGCCCAGGGAAAGAGTATGCCCGACTGGAAATCCTGACTTTCATTCACAACTTTCTCACCAAATTCAAATGGGAGAAATTGAATCCCAATGAGAAGATTTCCTACATTCCATCACCCATTCCAGAGGAGGGTCTTCCCATCAAGCTCCAAGCTGCCCCATCAAGCCAGCTGATGATGCAGTAAATAAATAATAAAATAATAATAATAATAATAATAAAAAATCTGTCCTGTCTTTGCCACTTTTTATAAGGAATTTCATATCTGGGCATGTTGCAGCAAGTAGTTAAAATAAGTTGAAGGTTACTTCAACGGTTTCTGTAATTCATTTAATTTTAATGTAATCCTATGCCCCAAACTTGTATTTGTTAAAACCTTCCCACAACAATGCATTTCTTAAAGGGGCAAGACCTTTTCTTCATCCCTAGTCGGGTAATTTTTTAAGAATTAAATACATATTTGGCATTTAAATTTTAACATTTTTGTCATAGTATTTAAAATTTTTTTTGTCATATTGATACACAAATTTTCAAATCATTATCATGTTGATACCTTTAACTAATGCTGTTAGTTAATTTTACTGATGTGCTATCAACATCCAATAAAAAAAAAAAAAATAAGCGTCATATCATCATTTCCAAGTTAGTATAAAAAAATTTTTCTAAAAAATTCTAAGAAATTATAAAAAATTAACAAAATCATTTTTAGAATTATCATAATTTGAAATATGAAATATTTTATAAATTATAAAAATTAACATAATTTGAAAATTTTTAAAATTTTTAATTCTTTTTAAAATGAAAAAAATTTAAAAATTAAATTTTATAAAAATTAAAATTCTATAAATTTATAAAAAAATTTATGAAAATGTTTTGAAATTTTAAGTTTCCTTAATTATTTTTGAATTTTTAAAAATTTTCTAAAATTTTTAGAATTTTTTAAATGTTTAAAAATTTTTAAAAGTTTTAGAGTTTTTTCAAAATTTTTAAAATTTTTTAAATATATTAAACATTTTAAATTTTTAAATTTTTTTAAAATTTTAAAAGTTTTTAGAATTTTTTAATTTTTTAAGAAATTTTTTAGAATTCGTTTGAATTTTTTGAAACTTTTTTGAAATTATTTTATATTATTTAGAATTATTGAAAATTTGTTAGAATTTTTAAAGTTGTTGATAATTTTTTAATTTTTTTGAATTTTTTTAATAATTTTTAAAAATTTTAAAAACTTTGCTGGAATTTTTTAAAATTTATTTAGAATTTTTTTAATTTTAGAATAATTTTTACAATTTATGTTAGAATTTTTCAAATTTTGAAAAAAAATTTAGATTTTTATAGAATTTCTTTTTTTTTTGAATTTTTATATTTTTTAACTTTTTAAAATTTTTTGAATTTTTTCTAAACTTTTTTTTATATTGATGTGATAATGATGATGTGACATTAATTAAACTTTTTTGACAAGTGTCATTATCTTTTTGGATGTTTATGCTATGTTAGTAAAGTTGACTAACGGCTTTAATCCAAGGTATTAATGTGATAACGATTTGAAAGTTCAAGTACTAATCACTAAAGGGGTTTAGGTTTTCAGTGATGTTTTTTTTAATGTCTAGTAGCGTTTATAAATGTCACTACAAGATTTACAAATTTATGAAAAACGTCACTCAGAGTATCGATTATACACGCGTTACAAAAAATAACGACATTTTACAGCATTTGTATATGAAAAATGTCACTATATTAATGGCGTTTGCATCTGAAAAACATTGCTATATTAATGGCATTTGTATCTTTGAAATGCATTTAATTTAGTGACGTTTTTATCATAAAAACGTCATTAAATTGGGGACATTTGTATAAAAAAAATACCACTAATTTAACGGCATTTGTGTTTAAAAATGCCGCTAAATGCTAAAAATAACGGCATTTGTAGTAAAACTACCACTAAACTTAACAATATTTTTTTATACAAACGTCACTAAATTCAGCATTTAGTGGTATTTTTAAATACAAATGCCGTTAAATAAACAATTTTACTTTTTTTAATTTTCTTTTAATATTTATTATAATTAAATAAAAATGTTTAAAAAATAAAAATTAATTTAAATTCATAAACTGAATATTATAAATATTTAAATATCTAAATATATAATTTGTTCCAATATGCATGTAACACAAAGTTTAATACATACAATAACATTTCACTTTACATTTATTTTCCTCTTGCCTATCAACGGACTCTATGGAAAGAGTCGCACTTACTTTGAATGGAGCCTACAACACCCATTCCTTCTCTTGACTTTCATTGCTAAAGAGAACATTTCTCCAGGAACCTCAAAACGTGCTGTTAGAAATGCATCACAGTATATTTCATTTATCTTCTCCACAACTTCATGTTCCAACTTGATTGAAAAATGTCACTGGGTAAGCTATTTGTAATGCAAGATAAAATCAAGGAAGATATACAAGATCTCATTGTTACAAACATGCAAAAATAATAGAGAAACAGATTTAACCAAAGCAACAAACTAAGATATATTTTTTGGCCAATGATCAAGATAAATGCACAAGGTAAAAGGATGTACACTCCCTTTCTGAGTGCATTTCATGAAATGCCTTTCAAAATCATAGTTATTTCATTTTGTATATATCATTATGAAATTGCTAGACTTGAAATGCAGTGCCATATAATTTGAGGGAAGGAGAATATATGAAAGGTTGGGAGATAGATCTTCAATCAAGCTCATGTTTGATTGCATTGGAAAAAGATAAAGATTATTTGATTCCATGAAATTTATAAGATAAACCATTTCAAATCATATTTTCAGCTCGTAAATAAATTAATAGAAATAAATGGATTCAAATGCTTCAAAAGGGAAATAAACTAATCTTTCAAAATAAAATGACCATGCAACAGAGTTTCAAGAAGGAAATACAAATTATGTAATGGATAAATCAACTATGCTGTACCTTGAACTGATGGTACAGCTATGTCTATAGAGATCAATGCTATTTTAGACTTAGCAATAACAAAAACTGTATCATGGAATCATTATAAAGTAATTGGAAAAAGTATAAAGGACCAATCCAAGTTGATAAGTCTACAGTATACACCTTTCAATTGCTACAATTCATCAATCAAGTTTGCTATAGAGAAAAACCAGCTTAATGAACTAGTAACTCAAGTGATACTTAAAACAGAGAAAAACAGAGCATTAACAACTAAATCTATCCAAACACTAAATGAATTCATGAAAATAAAAGTAATCAATTAAAAAATAATAAGTAAACATGTAAAACTAAGAATGTAAAGTATGAGAGAATCAAATTGAACACCTAGAATGAAAGAGGATCATCATTCATCAAGTTCTCATGCATAGATTGTTTCTACCTTTTGGATTTAGCCTTAAATTTGAAGATTTAACTGTACTTGTACAGATTGAATCTGAGGCTGAATTTTTACTAGATGATAGCCTTATAAACTAGGAATCTAGGAAAAAACATTTGAAGTAAATCAAGGTAGAATTCATTGAGTTTTGATCAAAAGACTAAAGATAGGTCAGGTGTGTGGTTTTGAAACTGGATTTGAGTTCAACGTGAATTTTACAGAATTTGAAAAGGAAATCATGAGAATTTGTAAATTTCATTATGAAAATCTTAAAGAACATTCAAAAAGCGTGTAGGAAGCCTAAAATTATAACAAGATTCAATTAAAAAAACTAAAATTAAAAGCTATTTGGTTTGAGAGAAAATGAAAATGACAGCAGATCAGGTTCTGACAAGAAAAATGAAAGGTAAAATATCAGTTTGTGCTTTAAGTTACACTAAGAAAGATATATGGAAAGCATAAACTTCTTATAAGACAATTGATTAGTCATAAAATATGGCTTAAACAAGGTTAAGGAAAGTAGGAACAGGCATCAACAAATATCATATAAACATTCATGTGAAACCATGGCCTCCCACCCCAAAACCCTCAGCTTTTGACAAATTATTAAAAAAAGTTCTTTTTGTAATAGAATACAAGATTCAAGTACATTCAATTATCATGAATTTATACTTTTATACAGTTCTCTTGATTTGAAAGATTTTTTTTCAAAACAATTATGTTTCTTACTTTCTCTTACACTCACCCTAGCACATTCAACACATTAAATTGAACAACAGGAAAAGATTTCTATATTAAACTAGCAGAGATAGAGCAGGAATCAAAGCAAAGCATTCACATATAGATATGAGATAAGTGAGAGCAATCTTATGCTAGAGTACTCAAAGAGCTTTCTAGTGGCTGAAAAGACTAGAAAAGCTATCTTAGCATCATAAAGAATGGAAAGCTCATGAGCTTTCTTGAAAATTCCTCATCTCCTCTTTGAGAAAGTCACCTACCTCGTTGCTATGTTATCAATCTTCTTGATTTGAATTTTCTTTCCTGTCATTCTCTTCCAAGAAAAAAGATGAGAAAATAAAGAAAATTACAGAGAAAAAAGATGGGATTTAAATTTTGGGAAAAAATTTTAGTCGCATCATTTTTTCACGATAGCAGCGTATACTTAAAAAAAGTCATTATTTACAAAAAGGATTATTGAAGGCATTTTAGGTAAAAAAAACACCTTCAATAATCTCTTAAATTTTTTAGAGAGGATTATTGAAGGTATTTTTTTTGCCAAAAATACCTTCAATAATCCCCTCTAATTTTTTTAAGAAGATTATTTGAGGTGTTTTTTTACAAAAAGCGCATTCAATAATCTTCTTAAATTTTGATGAAAAGATTATTGAAAGCGCTTTTGATCAAAAAAGCCTTCAATAATCCCTTCTAATTTTATAAAAGAAATTATTGATGATGTTTTTTGATCAAAAATGCCTTCAATAATCATATCCAATTTTTTAGAAGGGATTATTGAAGGTATTTTTTTGTAAAAAAAGGCATTCAATAATCTCCTTCATTTTTTATGATGGGATTATTGAAAGCGTTTTGTGTAGAAAACAACTTCAATAATCCATTCTAATTTTTTATAAGATTATTAAAGGTGTTTCAAGCAAAAAATGCCTTGAATAATTTCTTTATATAAAATAGAGGCGATTATTGAAGGTATTTTTTACCAAAAATACTTTCAATAATTCTCCTAAAAAATTGTAGAGGATTATTGAAAATGTTTTTGACAAAAAACGCCTTCAATAAATCTTTCTATCAAT